CTGGGCCCAGTGGGTCCCCAGGGACACCAGTTCTCTCCGATCCTCTGGGGTCAGGCACCATCTACTAGTGTGTGTGTTAAGACCAGCAGGGCTCCTAATCACTGGGTCTAGGACTGGTCATGGCTGGCCAGCAGAAGTCACACAGTGCCCTGACTGTGATCCCTAACGACTGTGGTTGAATCCTGAGTGGTTGCTGGGACCTGTGGGTCCCCTCACTGACCAGTGGCTGTCCTCGTAGGTCTGGTACATGGATGGCTATTACAAGGGCCGGCGGGTCCTGGAGTTCCGCACCCTGGGAGACTTCATCAAAGGCCAGAACTTTATTCAGCACCTGCTGCCCCAGCCATGGGCAGGCACGGGCCACGTGGTCTACAATGGCTCCCTGTTCTACAACAAGTACCAGAGCAACGTGGTGGTCAAATACCACTTCCGTTCACGCTCCGTGCTGGTGCAGAGGAGCCTCCCCGGGGCCGGCTACAACAACACCTTCCCTTACTCCTGGGGGGGCTTCTCGGACATGGACTTCATGGTGGACGAGAGCGGGCTCTGGGCCGTCTACACCACCAACCAAAACGCGGGCAACATCGTGGTCAGCCGGCTGGACCCGCACACCCTGGAAGTCGTGCGCTCCTGGGACACCGGCTACCCCAAGCGCAGCGCCGGTGAGGCCTTCATGATCTGCGGTGTGCTCTATGTGACCAACTCCCACCTGGCGGGGGCCAAGGTCTACTTCGCCTACTTCACCAACACGTCCAGCTACGAGTACACGGATGTGCCCTTCCACAACCAGTACTCTCATATCTCCATGCTGGACTACAACCCCCGCGAGCGCGCCCTGTACACCTGGAACAATGGCCACCAGGTGCTCTACAACGTCACCCTCTTCCACGTCATCAGCACCGCCGGGGACCCCTAGGTGCTGCCGCCGCGGCTCAGGCTGCCCCAGCGAGGGCCACCGGGGGCCCGCCCTGCTCTGCCTGTGTCCCCTCAAGTTTCTCTGTCCGTCGTGTCGCCTCGCCCCTGTCCTGTGCTTTTTCTTGTCCCAGCTTTCGTTCTCTGCCTATTTCTATCAGTGCTTTTTCTCAATTTTGTGTCGTCTCCTTTATCGACCTCTGCTTTTGATACTCCACTGGTCTTTCTGCCTTCTTATTGATGTCCCCCTTTCTTTTTATCGATCGGGCCTCCTCTGCCTCTCTCTCTCTCTCCTCTTTCCCCACTCTCTTTGCTTCCCACCCGTTCCTCATCCCTGGCTCCTCACCTCCACCCTCCCACCCCCAGGAGTTGACTGCATGGATTTCCTTCTTTTTTTATTTACACTTTTTCTTTCCGGGTTGCTGGAATAAACGGGACCTTTGACATTTGATGCTGTGGTTGCTGCGTGTGTCCAGGGGAGGCAGACGTGGAGGTGGGGGCCAAGTCCAAGCCTAGAGACCCATCTCCGTCGGGCCCCCTCACTCCGTGACTTGGCTAAGTGACCTGGGGCCAGCAAGCCCAGCATGGGGCTGGGGGAGCCGGGGAAACCCACCCCTCCCCAGGGCGAGCCCTTTCTGGAGGTGGGTGAGCACAACCCAATAGTTGTTTTCGATCGAAAGCAATTCGCTTAAAAGCAATTTGATCAAAACAACCGAGAATTCTATCACGACGACAAAAATTGGCCCCAGATGAATATTCTCTGCTGCTGGCTTTTCAACCCATCGATCACTCTGGTGCATCGCTGAGCTGTCTGGCAATTTTTTAATGGGTTTTTAACAATTTGGCTGCTTTTAAGAATCTGAGTATGAGAGGGCTGGGGCCCGGTCAAATGTTTCCTCTTGCTTGCTTCTCGTTTTTGCTGTGCAATTCCAAAAATCGTTCTGCAGAGAGTCACGCCTGTTCTGAGTTAGCTAATAACAGAAAGCTAGAAATAGCCTAAACGTGCACTTGGGGCCTTTGGTCAAACACACCCACGTACCCCACAGCTGGGGCAGTGATGGCCGCTGGCTGGGAGACCGTGGAGAGGAAGGGACAGGCCAAGATGAGAAGCGGTAGAGAGGCAGGCGGGAAAGAGAAAGAGGAAGGCAGGAAGAGACTGAAGGAGAGGCCGAGTCCTCAGGAACCCTAGGGACCTGGCTAAAGGCGGAGTTTGGGGTGCACAGCAGGGAAGAACAATCTAAGGGCTTTGTATTGGACACAGCTGCCTGGTGACCCCACTAGGCGGGTGAGCCTGAGGGACAAGCTGGAGGAACCGTGAGGAGGGTGGGAGGAACTACTGCTGGGGCTGTCTCCACCTGCACTGTAGGTAGTGAGGCACAGTGCCCGGCCGTGTGCCTTGTGGGATCTCATGGGTGGTTCCTACTGAATTCAGAGGACCCGACCCCACCCTTCTGAGACCACGGGGCGGGGGGGAAGCTCTCCAATCCCTCCCCATCTGTAATTAATGGCCCGTCCTGATTAGATCATCTCCCATCTCCGGGAACCCAGACACTGGGGCCATATTGGGAATGAACTGATGAATAATAGATACAACTGCCTAATGCACTCATTTAAAGCCAATTTTTAAAGAAATCCGCAAGAAAAGCAATTAATTTCCATTTCAATGAACACGTTTGACATCGAAAAAACGATCGATTCCCAGTTTAGCACGTGGAGATGTATTTTGCTCCATTTCGGCTCAAGAAGAAAGAAAAAAAATGGCGTGGAACTGGGGCACATCTGTATTCCCGGCCCCCACCTCACCTCCACGCTTACACTGATTTGGGGGCAAATCTCCAAGGTGACGGGGCAGGTGGTTCATGGGTCGTAGATAACAGAACCCCCCCCCCCCAAGTCAAGTGGGAAGGGAGGACTGCTGAGTTGCAAGGTGTTTGTCCAAAGCACACGCAGGTCTGAAGACCCTCATTCTCCCACCAAGGACAAGGGCGGGATGTTGGGTGTGTGTCGCACCTGTACATCAGGTCCCCAAACAGACGCCCAGGCACCTGGCATCACAGCTGCCAGCACTCTCTCTCGATGGTTCTCCCTTCTCTCTCCGTATGTCTCTGCCAAGCTCTCCCTCTCACACACACACACACACACACATACACAGAGGCTCAGCGCGCCTGGTGCTTTCATATCTGTGGCTCGTTCCAACCAAGAACGGGCAAAACCACCCTCACCCCTGGCTGCAGGCCAAGATCCCGTGTGTGGGGGGTGTCTTAGGGTGTCCATTGCTACCTCGCTGACTTGGCCTCTCACCATGAACGTGCTAGGAGGAAGCTGCCACCCCCCTCCCACGGAGGTAACCCTGCTTCTCCTGTAGAGAGCTGCTCTGGCCCTGCTGGGTGTCCACGCAAGTGGTTGGAGGAGTGGAAATCAGGTCTGGCCTGGGAGGTGCCTGTGAGAGAGAACCCTGGGTGGAGGAGGAAGGCCACGCCATGGCCATCCGAGAGGCCTGGGATTTGCAGCCCCAGTTCTGGACAGGACGGGATGGCTGGGAATATGACGCTGAGTGGGCTCCAGGGGCATGCTTACCTAATGACACACTTTTTAATTTGTGCTGTGGATGGAAGAGGCAAAGGGAAAGGCCTGGATTGGGGGCAGGAGGTTCCTCGCAGAGAGGGGCACTCACACAGGACAGACACAACCAATCACAGGGAGACACACACACACACACACACACACACACGGCGGGGGAGGGGTGATACTCAATGTGGCATGAATGCCGTAAAATCCATTTCTTGGCCAGCCTGCCACCCCAACCCTGGCATAGGATAGCGCGTGCCCCTCCCAGGCGGCATCTCAGCCCAGGAGCGGGAGCCCCTGGGGGCTCTTACCCCAGCCCTTGGTGTGGAGGCCCGCTCACCCTGACCCACAAAAGCAAGCCTCTGCCCTCGCCCTCCCTCTCCCCGATCACCTGCCTCTGAGCAGCTCAGGGACTCCCTTAGACCCTCCCCAACCCCGCCCAACTGTTGCTGGGATGGATAGGTGGAGGGCAGTGGGCTGCTGCTCGCCCCTCCGCCCCCGTGCGCCAGCCACGAAGAGCGTTCTGCCTGGAGGTGCAGCCAGCCAACCCAGCTCTCCCCAGCCCGCTAGGGCTGCAAGGAAACTCATTAAACCTTCCTAATGACAAACGCTCGGGCAGGCGGCAGGCGGCAGGCGGGGAGAGTGACGGCTCCAGAAACCTGCCAGATGGGAGCAGGCGCAGGTGACTGTTTCTGAGGCTCAGCGGGGGAGGGGGAGGGGGAGCGGCCTCCCGGGGGGTCGGCTTTATTCAGCCCAGCTGGCCACCCCACACTCTAGGCTGGACCCCACCAAGTGGGGGTGGGGGGAGCCCTCTTTCCACCTAACAGATCCACAATGTCTGAGGGAGTCTGGGCTCCCAGCCGGGGCAGCCATGGAGCAGACAGCTGGCTGACCACACCCACAGCCCTCCACCCTGGCTGGGGTCCCCCACCCCAGGGGAGGGTGAGCCCGCCCCTCCCCACCTGCTACAGGGGTCCCCTCTGCTTCACCACAGCCACTGGAGGCTGCATCCCCCCCACCCCAGGATCCCTGCTCTCAGAGGTGCAGGGGGCCCCTGTTGCCATGGGAACAGCATCTGCAGAGGGTGCTGGGCCTGTTGGCCAGACCCAAGAACAACCTGCCAGGAGCGCTCCAGGCGGCAGGGAAGCGGGCATCAGGGTGTTAGGCATACGGTGTCCTAGTTGGAGAGGACTGTGTGTGGTGGGGACTGGGGGCTGTGCAGGGGCCTCCGCCTGGCTCTCACAGGACTCCCTCCAGATCTGCTGGCTCCACCCCCAACCCATTGAATCTGCACCCAGGAACACCACCGGGGCTGGCTTGTCCACTCGGCTGAGACCCTCTGGAGCTGGACAGTGCCCCCCTCCCTGGAGTTGGGCTGCTGGGAAGAATTCCCTCGAGGTTTCCTCGGGTCCAGGAAGAGGGGCGGCCTCTCAGGGATCACCCGGACATCTGGGATGGAGGATGGTCCCCTCCCCACCCCATGCCTCACAGGGAGAAAATGAGACACAGGACAGCAGAGCAGTGGTTCTGGGTTTAATCGAGGATGAAAAGGGTGCTGTGCTGTGGCCCAGAGGGCCCCCGACCAGGCACCCCACGTTCGTTCGCATTTTCAACTGAATAGAGGAACAAGGTGTAACTAGAAACAACAGCGCAGGCCCCTGCCCGCCTCCAGGCCCCGGGCGGCTGAGAGGACTAGGCCTCTGGGACCCATCACCCCTCCCCAGGGCCCAGGTGCCTCCCCAGCCCCGCTGCCCTTCAGAATTCCTTGAAGCCAGGCATTGATGGCCCCAACTGCAGGTGGGTGGGTGGGGAGCGGGGACCCCAGAGCTTCCTCCCAGCCATTTAGGGTACAATAAATACTGTGTGGCAGCGGCAGGGGGAGCAGGGGCCGCAGCCCCGCCCGCCCCGCCCGCCGGCCCCAGCCACCCACAGCCCTCACTCTGTGCGCAAGATGATGTGGATGCCGGAATCCGTGAACACAGGCCCGCTCATCTCCCCTGTCCGCAGCGCAAACGAGGCGTCTTCGAATGGCTTCTGCATCTGACCTGGGAATGGGGAGGGCCGGGGAGGGGGGAGAGGTGTCAAGGCCGAGGCGGGCAGGCGGGGACGGCGCAGATGGGGCTCCTGCCTGCGCTGAGCCTCGCGCTCATCTGCGCTCATCCGTCACCCACTTTATGGCCCTGTCACGGTGCAGCGCTGTGGCTCAGCTGGGGGTGGCGGGGCCATTACGGAGGCCCTGGGAAGGCGAGGACAGCATGAGGGATGGCAGGCAGAGCTGCCACGGCCGCACATTTAGAGGCGCATTCTGGTGATGAACTGTCCTCCCAGCGCCTGGCTCCCCGCCCGGCCACAGCATCTGTCCTGCTGGCCTCGCGGGGGCATCAGGGAGCCACAGCCCCTTGCGGCCTTCCCCACTCTCCCACACCCCCACCCCATCCTGGGCCCCCGGCCCCTGCCCTGGCCAGACAGGCCGACTAGGGCTGCCCACCCGAGCTGCTGCCCTCACCCACGGTTTCCCCACCTCTGGGAGTAGAGTGGCAATGCTGGGGGACATGCCCTGGGGCACTGAGGGGCCCAGCCTTACACGAGTGCCCAATGACAGGACACAGCCTGCTTGGTGACCCACGATGTTCTGCAGCCCTTACTCACCCCTCCCTCCCCTCTTCCCCCAGCAGGGAGAGCCTCTGAGGCCCCAGGGAGGGACTGTGCTGCCACCTAGTGGACCCCGAAGGCCTGTGCAGCAGGGACTGCTCCTCCGGGGAGCCAGGCAGGCCCACTCCAGTCTCTACCCACTGAGGGCGGCAGTGGGGGTCAGGGCTGGTGCCCACTCTCGCACCTCTGCTGAAGGCACCCAGGTCTCCCCTGGCCTTGGCCGAGCTGCAGTCGCTGAACTGCGAGGCCAGAGACTCAAAGTCCTCCTCTCCCGACTTGATCTTCTGGATGTAGCCTGTGGACAGGACAGGGGAGGCTCCACGTCAGGAGTGGGGTGAGGCCCTCACTCCTGGAGCAGCTGTGCACACCCTCCCCAGTGCCACCCGCTGTAGTGTGTCCACATACATGCACAACCCTGCAGTCCGGACAGCCACGCTGGTCTCCCCAGCCCACGCGTGCGCACACACATCTCAGAGAAAAATTTAAACCAAGCCCAACGGGGTGGAGGAGAGCAAGGCACCAGGAGAGGCTCTGGACTCGGCGGCAGGGGGCTGGGGTCCTCAGAGCAGGGCTGGGGGAGTTTCCTAGAGAGGGTTTGGGGGACAGGCCCAGTTCTACCATGGGAATTCACCGAGGCCCAGCCTGTGGGCCCCAGCTGTCAGATCTGGGGCAAGTGGGAGGGGTGCTGGGGAGAGACCCCCATGTGGCCTTTGCACTGTGGCCCCAGAGGCCACACGACTCCTACTCCAGCACTTCCCCAGTGCACAGAGCATGGCGGCACAGACGCGTGACTGGGCACACCCACACACATGCACACTCCCAGTGGAAAGGAGCTGCCAGTTGTCATTGTGTGCATGTGTGACTGCGTGTGACTGGCATACATACACACACACACACTCCCCCAATGGAAAGGAGCTGCCAGTTGTCACCATGTGCATGTGTAACTGTGTGTGACAGGGCACACCCACACATACACACACACCCAATGGAAAGGAGCTGCCAGTTGTCGCCATGTGCATGTGTGACCACGTGTGACTGAGCACACACACACATGCACACACTCCCAATGGAAAGGAGCTGCCAGTTGCTGCTGTGTGTGTGTGTGTGACTGCGTGTGACAGTGCACACACACACACACACATCCTCCAATGGAAAGGAGCTGCCAGCTGTTGCTGTGTGCATGTGTGAACATGTGTGACTGGGCACACACACACACACACTCCCGATGGAAAGGAGCTGCCAGTTGCCGCCGTGTGCATGTGTGACCACAGTGTGACTGGGCGCACACACACAATGGAAAGCAGCTGCCAGTCGCCCTCCTGAGTCCAGGCAGCCCTCGAGGTGGGCAGCAGCCTGTGCTTCCCTGCCCTCCACGGGCCCTCCTGCGCTGACCGCTGCCCCAGCACGCAGGGTGGCCTTGCCGGCCCCTTCCCGGGCTGCACAGCTGCCATCCTGAGCAGCTCCCGAGGCTCGCCGTCCATTCCCAGCTCGGCCAGCAGCCGGTCCCCAGGGGGCTCTGGGGGCCGCACACCTGCCGGCGGGGTTCACAGCACCCTGACACTGCCACCTGCTGCTCCTGTCTGCCCACGACCTGCCAGGTGTGAACGTCACTGACACGGCTGCCTGGCATGTGCCCGAGCGCTGTCTGATTTAATCGGTGCTGGGGGCCTGGAAAGCCAGCCTGGGCGTCTGCCTGAGGCTGGGCGGCTGCAGACTTCCTCAGAGTCTGGTCTGACCTACACACCACACGCTACCTGCACACCACCACACTCTACCTCCTGTGACTCTACCTACACACCATCACACGCTACCTGCACACCACCATACTCTACCTCCTGCAACTCTACCTATACACCACCACACTCTACCTCCTGCGACTCTACCTACACACCACACTCTCTACCTACACACCACCACACTCTACCTGCTGTGACTCTACCTACACACCATCACACTCGACCTACACACCACCACACTCTACCTCCTGCGACTCTACTACACACCATCACACTCGACCTCCTGCGACTCTACCTGCACACCACCACACTCTACTTCCTGCAACTCTACCTACACACCACACTCTCTACCTCCTGCGACTCTACCTACACACCACACTCTACCTCCTGCGACTCTACCTACACACCATCACACTCTACCTCCTGCGACTCTACCTACACACCACACTCTACCTCCTGCGACTCTACCTACACACCATCACACTCGACCTACACACCACCACACTCTACCTCCTGTGACTCTACCTACACACCACACTCTCTACCTACACACCACCATACTCTACCTGCTGCGACTCTACCTATACACCACCACACTCTACCTGCCTATGACTACAGCTGAAACGGCTGTTGTAGCTATCTGGGGAGTAAACCAGCAGATGCAAGCTCTCTGCCTCTCAAATAAATAACACAAAAATTGCACAGAGGCCAGTGTTGTGGCACAGCAGGTAAAAGCTGCTGCCTGTGACACTGGCAACCCATACGGGTACTGGTTCCGGTCCTGGCTGCTCCACTTCTGATCCAGCTCCCTGCTAATGGCCTGTAAAGGCAGTGGAGGACGATCCAAGTGCTTGGGCCCCTGCACCCATGTGGGAGACCCAGATAAAATTTCTTGCTTCAGCCTGGCCCAACCCTGGCCATTGTGGTCATTTCTGGAGTGAACCAGAAGATAGCAGATCTCTCTTTTTACTTATTTATTTTTAAAGATTTATTTATTTATTTGAAAGGCAGAGTTACAGAGAGGCAGAGGCAGAGAGAGAGGTCTTCCTTCCACTGGTTCACTCCCCAGTTGACTGCAATGCCCAGAGCTGTGCTGATCTAGTCAGGAGCCAGGAGCCTCTTCCAGGTCTCCCATGTGGGTGCAGGGGCCCAAGGACGTGAGCCTCCTCTGCTGCTTTCCCAGGTGCACTAGCAGGGAGCTGGATTGCAAGTAGAGCAGCTGGGACTCAAGCCGGTGCCCATATGGGATGCCAGAGCTGCAGTTTAACCTGTCATGCCATAGCACCAGCCCCAGATCTCTCTGTCCCCCGCCCCATCTGTAACTCTACAAATAAACAAAAAGAAGGAGAAAAGAAGCAGCACAATTGTGACGGTACGATGTTGCCCCCCTCTGGCTGCACGTCATCCTCAATGTCCTGGTATCTGCTTTGCTGACAATGGGATGCAGGGCTCGTCCCCTCACTGCCCTGTGTCCTGTCACCCCTACACTGGGCTTTTACGAATATGCCCATGAGGCACAGCCACGCGGAGGACACACAAGGCCTCCCCCTATCCGCATGGCGGACTGCAGCCTCCTGGGAAGCCCTGTGGGGCAGCCCTGCTCCCGTGTCAGAAGTATCCACCTGTCACTCTGATCTAAACCGGACATGCTCAGCACAGCCCTCCGGCTCCTCCTCTCCCTGGCCTCGCCACTGGATTCCCCCGACGCCTGTCTGGGTGTCAGCCAGCGCCCCCTGCCTCCAGGCCTAAGCACTGGCTGGGGTCCTGCACCAGCATCACCCAGTAGCTGAGGCCGCAGGGATTCCCGACATTGGTAGCCTGGCCAAGGCAGCAGCGAGGGTGCAAGGAGTTGGGTCCCTGCCACCCATGTGGGAGACCTGGGTTGTGTTCTTGGCTTCTGGCTCTGGCCCTGGCCTGGTCCTGGCTGTTGGGGGTATTTGAGGAGTAAATCAGCAGATGCAAGCTCTCTGTCTCTCAAATAAACCAAACCAAACCACTTTCTCCTTCCTTGAGACTGACCTTCAGGGCACTGGCCCCTGTGTCCCCCAGCCCAGTGTGTTCCCTCCCTCCTGCCCTGTCCGTCTTTCTCCCCTCCTCCCTCCCCCCACTCCATCCAGCCTGAAACCTGCCTGTTGTCCTCTGGTCCCCACCCCTCCCCCTAAGCCCTGGCAGTGCAAGATGCACCCGCGGGAGTTCCATTTGTCACTGTCCTGTTCAGGCATCTGCTGCCCGCCTCCCAGCAGGAGGACAGGGGCCGGCTGCGCCATGTTTACCACTGTCCCCTCAGCACCCCGTGCTGAGCACAAAACAGGTAAATGAGACAGAAATAGGCCGCAGGGAAGGTGGCAGCCAGGGCCCGGCTCTGGGTTTTGGGCAGAGATGCAGGAATCTGACACCTTCTCTGCTGGCAAGACTTCCCAATGCCCTGGCCTCCCTGACCGCACCAACAGCCCTGGCCGAGACATCACCGTGGGACCCTGACCCGGCAGGACTCCAGCCCAGCCCTGTGCAGACCCACGGCCTCTCCAGGAGCTCCTAGTCTGGAGCAGAGATTCTACACCTGCTTCTGGGTGTTCAGGACCCCCTGCCAGCCCACCTGCCCACAGCATGTTTCTTGAGGCTTCTTGAGGCCAAGCCAGGCCCCGCTCTGCTGCCCCTGAGCTCTGCGAGTCCGGGAGGTGGTCCTGCTGGTCTGTAAAATGGGGTGACAGGGGTTCCCACTTGAGAAAGCTGTTCTGAGGGGGGGATGAGCGGCCGCTGCAGCAGCACCAGCCCTCACACAGGGATGAGCTGTCCACCCATCTGCTAAGGGCTAAATGTCTGTATCCCACTCCCTCCAGGGCCTATGGTGAAGCCCCCACCGCAGTGTGACTGGATTTGGAAATGGGGTCCCTTAGGCATTGAGATCAGGGACGGATGTTGGGCCTAGTGGTTAGGAGGCCCTCATCCCACATGAGTTCCTCGGTTCAAGGCCAGCTCTGGCTTCTGACTCCCAACTTCCTGCAGGCCCTGGGAGGCAGTGATGATGGTTCAAGTAGTTGGGGTCCCTGCCATGCGTGAGAGAGTCCTGGACTGAGTCCCTGGCTCCTGGTTTTAGCCACAACCAGGGGCTACTGAGAGCATTTGGGGAGTGAACCAGTAGAAGGGAGGGTGGTCTCTCTCCCTCTGTCTCTCAAAACAGAAAAATGAAAAGGTTACATGAGGGCACAAGGGCGGGATTAGTGCCCTTCCAAGAAGAGACATCTGGGTCTCTCGGGTATGCAAGACAGACGAGGACACCTAATCTAGACGCTGTCTACAAGCCCGAATGAGAGACCTCACCACGTACCAACCTGGCCAGAATCTTGATCTTGAACTTCCAGTAACTTTGAGGAAATAAATTTCTGTTGTTTAAACCACCCAGTCTGTGGTATTTTATTATGGAGCCCAAGCTAACAGATCACTGTAACCATCCAAGGGAGCATGAGTGAACAGACAGAGGGGTGCCTAATCCCAAAAAGGTTTAGGGACAAACTCCCTGCCCTGCCCTACAACTCAATAAGCTGCTTCTAGTCCAACGGCACCCAGGCACCAAAGGGGAAGGGGCCTGGGCAGGGAAAGAAGTCAGGATTATGTCCCCAGAAGACCCAAGATCCAGCAAGGGGCCCAGAGGCCCAGCCCAGGACCACTGGCCCTCCCTGGGTGGGGGGTCCTCAGGTCGGGGCCTCCCTGGGACCCTGGGCACACAGGCATGGAGGGACGGGAAACAGGCAGGGATGGCTCCCCCTGGCTGGCCGCTTCAGGCAAGGACACCAACAGTGACACTGGGCGGGCCTCGGATTCCTGACAGCCCCTGGCGGCAGCCCAGCAGCTGCAGAGGAGCTGATGCTGGGAAGAGGAGCCTCTGCAGAGAGGTGGAGGCGCTGATTCTCGCTGCAGACGCGTCTCCCGGGGCAGCACCGGGTCCCAGTGGGCACTGAGGAGACTCGTGTGGGCCCAGGCTGCCAGCTGGGGAGGGCGCTGGCCAAACCATCGACTCCTGATCCTCTGGAACACAGCCAGACCGGGGGAGCAGTCACCTGCACACACAGGACAAGGCCCAGGCACCCAAGGCTTGTGGAAAACACACAGGATGTCTGGTTACTGAGTGCGCCACAGCCAAGGCCGGCTCACCACGGCCTCCTAGCAACCTCTGAGGGTCCTGCACCAGTCCCACCTCGAGCAGGACGACACTGAAGTCAGAGAAGGTCGCAGTCCAAGGTCACCAGAGGGTCTATGCTGAGCCCACCAGACCGCCCGTGTCCAGGCCCAGAGATCTTTCCAGAGAAGCAGCCCATGAGCCCAGGCCTTCCCTCGACCTCAGCTCCCCCATGCATATGCCTCAAGGACTGGGGTCAAGCCCCAGACACCGAGCCCACGGCTCCTGGCTCTTCATGGGGACACGCGCCCAGCCTACAGAGGCAGCCACCGAGGCTCAGAGAACACAGCTGCTCCAGGACACACAGCTGGCACAAGACCCCAGTCCTGAGGAGCCCAGGGTGTGGTGGGCCTCCCAAGCAGAGCCTTGCCCACTTCACACACCCCTGCATCCTCCCAAGTCTGTCTCCTGAATCTCTCTAGAATCCGCCTCCCCCTCATTTCCACCCTCGGCCCACCCCAGGCTCGAGCCACACTGCCTCTGCCTGCAATCTCTCCCACAGCCTCCACAGGCGCCCCCCCCCCCCCTCCCAGCGCTGGCAGCCTGCTGACATCCCCAAATCTCCATCTACGGAAGGGCGGGCCCGGGCCCACCTGCTCACGGTCTATCCCTTCCTAAGACCCAAGCTGGTGAGTGCAGCCCCACCGCAGCACCGGCCCAGAGCTGGGAAGGCCGCTCAGCCTCCCGCCACCTTACCCGGATCACCCCACATGTCCTTTTGGCCTCCCTGCTCTGCTGAACCCAGACCTGCGTCCGGCTGCCTCCCCAAGTTCCGCCCCCAGCCCCCAGGATTTAAAGGGCCCCGCCCAGGCTGAGCCTCTTCCCAAGTTCCCTCTGGCAGGAACTCCTGCCGCTCTACCTCCAAACGCCCTCTTCCTCCTGGAGTCGGCGAGCCTCAGAGCAGGGAGAGCAGAAGTGGAGAGGATCCCGGCCCGAGAGCCCCTGCTCACCGTTGATCAGCTCCAGGGCCTCCTCCTTGGTCCGGGTGATCTTCTCCTGCCGCCAGGACGAGGGCCGCCGGGACTGGCTGTGTTTGACGAGCAGGTGCGAGCAGCGGACACGCGCCGGCTCCCCCTGCCCGATTTTGCCTCCACCGCTGCTGCTGTTGCCGCTGGGGCGCTCCCACTGGCTGGCGTTCGTGATGTGGTTGAAGTAGTACACCCGGCCTGCGGGGAGGGCAGCAAACCCATCGCGTGTCCACCCTGCGCCACGGGCGGACACGGCAGCGCACAGCCCCTGTACTGAGGGGGGCTCACATGCTCAGTGGGGGAAGACAGGCTCCAAACCAGCAAAGACGACAACAAGAGAACCCCAATGACTGCTAACTTCAGGGAAGAAAAAATAACACAGGGGATCGGGGGGGTTCCAGCAACAAATCCAGCTGAGCCACCCACTGAGGCTAAGATGCTGTCTATGGGCCTTATCTCCCCGAGCCTCAGTTTTACTCATCTGCAAAATGGGGGTGAGCGAATCAACACCATCAAACCTCCCCTGGGTCGACACACAAGGACTATTACTTCGACTGTGGCCACTGCGGGCTCCAGGGGCGGCAGAGGGACCCTGGACCTACTCAGAGAAGCCGGGCCAGCTCCTCGGGCGCTCGCGGTGACACAGGGAAAGCGCCAGGGGCCCTGGAGCAGGCAGACTGGGTTCCAAGCCGGCTCCAACCCCCCTGAAATGCACGATCTTGGAAGACATCCTTCCACTTCCTGGCCTCAGCGTCCCCACTTGTAAAATGGGCGCACCAACGACCCATCTCCCAGACGTGCGGCAATTCTCAGAGAACTAAAAACACGATGCGGGGTGCACACCTAACGGGGCCAAGCTTTCGATCGGGCTCCAAGCAGACTCAGGAAGAGGTGTGGCCGGCAGGGGTGTGTGCCACGCCTCTCTGCTCGGTGAGGGGTATCCCCCTCCCCAGGGAGTGCCCCGGGCCCAGCTCCCCGCAGAGCGACAGGTGCAGCAGGCCCGCGCTGGCTGCAGACGGCCGGGCTGGCAGACTCAGTGCCGCCGCCTCAGGGAGCGCCGCGGCCTCCCCGGCCCCTCCCCCGCCCCGCCCCCTGCCTCAGTTTCCTCCCGGCTCCTGAGCCTTGCAGCCCTCCACGGGGGCGGGCCGGCGCCGTTACTCCGAGGGCGACGCGGAGGAGCCCAGACCTCACGGGACGGAAGCGGGGGGCTCCTCCGCGCTCGAGGGCAGAGCTCGCGCCCTGCTTCCGTGGGCCCGCGCGGCCCTGCCCCGGCCCCGATCCCCGCGGCACCTGAGCTGCGGCTCATGCGCTTCTCCCAGCCGGGCGGCAGCTTCTCCTCGTCCGCCATCTTCCCTCCTGCCGCAGCGCCCGCTCCGCCTCCGCCGCGCCGCCTGTCACCCGCGCCCGCCCACCGACGCTGCCCATTGGCTCGGCGTTCTCCGCACCGGGGCCTGGCAGCGACGCTCATTGGACATTCCAACCGTCAGGATGAGCTCTCCGTCTTGCTACTGGGCAGAAGCAAGAGTGGGCGGATCCCCCCACGTTACACTGGTACCCGGCCCCTAGTCGGGCTCACCCAGGCCCCGCCCCTCTCCTCTCCTTGGCTCCTAAGTGGTGGATTAGAGACTCGAGACCGCCCTTCTCAACGCCCTTTGGCGAGAGCGAAAAAAGTCCCAACCCCCTTCTTGGCGCTCTTGGCGGGCGGAACCCGACCCGACAGGATAGAGCTTATTGATTGGCTGCCGGGGCAGCAGTTCCCGCCTGCCCGAGCCGTTCCCGGAAGGCCGCACGACCCTCATGCGGAAGCGTCTGGCCGCTGTGCAGGTTACTTGTGGGAGGAGGAGGAGGCGGTGGTACCCGTGCTGTTGCCATAACAACGCAGTTGCCTTGGTGACGAGCAGCTCAGTGCCCGAAGCCTAAGTTTGGCTTCTCCAGCCTCCCTCTTCCCACCTGCTTCCTCCAGATGTCCAAAGCCAACCCGGCCTCGCTGGGCTAAACCATGTTCCCCCCGCGGGCCCCTTGGAATCTACTTATTTCCTCTCACTCTGGCTGCTTCCTCCTCCCGGGCGAGGAGAGCGCGAGAGGAGGCGCAGGTGGGAGAAGCATGAGCTGCTGCGGGGGTGGCCGGGAGGGCCGTGGGCTGCAGGTGAACAAGGGAGCGCTTTATCGGTGTGCCAGTTCAAGACCTAGCTCCTCCACTTCTGATCTGGCTTCCAGCTAATGCACCTGGGAAGACAGCGGATTATAGTCCCTGCACCCACATGGGTGCCCCTTAACAACATCGAGGCTCAGAGACGTGGCTCAGGGAAAACACAGAGGCAGGACGAGGTAGGAGGCCAAGGGCGCTGCGGAGCCACCTTGCTTGGGGGTGAGGGAGTGCGAGCAAGTTACTGAACCCCCGTGCTTCAAGTCCTCCGATTGCAAAGTCGGAGGAAGCAATACTACCACTTCCTCTGTCTGATGCGATGGTTAAGGAGTGGTCCCTATAAAGCACTCAAAACACTTCCTAGCCCACAGCTAAGATATGTTAAGTATTAAACGATACTGTTGGCCAGGTTAAAAAAAAAAAAGTCATAGTTCATTGTAGCAACTGTAATGTGTATGAAAGCATGACAAAACAAAAGGGTCAACAGAGAAAATTACTTTTAAAGAATCTTTTATGGAGGCCGGCGCCACGGCTCACTAGGCTAATCCTCCGCCTGCGGCGCCGGCACACCGGGTTCTAGTCCCGGTCGGGGCGCCGGATTCTGTCCCGGTTGCCCCTCTTCCAGGCCAGCTCTCTGCTGTGGCCAGGGAGTGCAGTGGAGGATGGCCCAGGTGCTTGGGCCCTGCACCCCATGGGAGACCAGGAAAAGCACCTGGCTCCTGGCTTCTGCCATCGGATCAGCGCGGTGCGCCGGCAGCAGCGCGCCGGCCGTGGCGGCCATTGGAGGGTGAACCAACGGCAAAGGAAGACCTTTCTCTCTGTCTCTCTCTCTCACTGTCCACTCTGCCTGTCAAAAAAATAAATAAATAAAAAAAATTATAGGCTTATATCACAGCAAATTTATAGATTCATTAAGATGTTGACTACCAGTGGTGATACAAGTCAAATGACCAAAAAATGAAGAACTTTTTAATGTTTTCAAGCACATCTTAGCATAATAATTGTAAAAGATAATTGGAGTTGCAAAAATAGATTTCACCCAGCTGGCAAATGGGCTAGCATTTGACACAGCAGAACGGAAGTTTTCACTTAGGAGCAGTTTTGTTCTCCAGGGGACATCTGGTGATGTCTTGACAGTTATGGCTGTCACAAAGGGAGGAAGGGACAATTTAGTGGGTAGAGGCTGTGGAGACTGCTGCACATCCTGCAAGGCACGGGCCAGCTCCCCACAGCTCAGAATTCCCCAACCCCAAATGTCAGCATTGCCACAGCAGAGAAACCCTGCCATGGAATAATCCTCAAAGCTAGGAAATCAACAGCGGTGTGAACCTCTTCACTAACACTGGTTCCATCTTCCCACTGTTCTGTAATGCTTCAGGATGGGCTTGTCTCACGCCAGCTCGCGGTGGGACTGAGGGTGTGTGTGGACCCTGGACTCCTCGCTCTGCATCACACCAGGTGGCTGATGATGTTCAAAATGCATTGCTGATTGCATTTAAGCTGTCTACTGCTGCAGAGAAAAACTGCCCTTCATGCAGGGAGTAACACCTATTTCAGTGTGTGTGGGTCAGGAATCTAGCTAGGCACAATGTAGCTCACGTCAGCAGGGTGGCTGTGGCCTCCTCTGATGGCTGGACTGGGGTAAGATCTACCTCCAAGCCAGTTCCTGTGGCTGCTGGCAGGAGTCAGCTGCTAATGGCATGCTGACTAAGTTCAAGAAATTTTTAAATCCATAGTTTTTTCATAGTATACATTTTCCATAAACCTTTTGAAGACCCCACATAGGTATGGACTTCAAAAAATTTTGCACCAACATAAACTTACCTTTTAATTCTATTTTCCATGGACCCCTCTTTTTTTTTTTTTTTTTTTTAAGATTTATTTATTTGAAAGACAGAGTTAGAGAGAGAGAGAGGTCTTCCATTCATTGGTTCACTCCTCAGATGGGTGCAATGGCTGGAGCCAGGCCGATCCGAAGCCAGGAGCCAGGAGCTTGTTCCAGTCCTCCCACACAGGTGCAGGGGCCCATATTCTGCTTTCCCAGGCCATAGCAGAGAGCTAGATCGGAAGTGGAGCAGCCAGGACTCAAACCGGTGCCCATATGGGATGCTGGCACCATAGGCAGTGGCTTCACCTGCTATGCCACAGTGCTGACCCCTCCATTTCTCCTTTTGTAATAAATAAATACTTTAAGGAAGGCACTTTAACACCTACCAGTGCATTCTGCCACCAGCAATCACTAGTATGTTGAACCGGGGGGATCTTGGGAGAGAGGAGGAGCAGTCCAAACTTTAACATCAGCAGGGTCAGTACAGAACAGGGAAGAATGGATGGAGCAAAGTTCTGCATGCTGCTCTGGGGAAGGGCTCCAGAAAGGGGCTAGGCCCAGGTCCCTCTCCTACCCTGCAGTCAGGGCCGAGGTCAACACCAGGATCTGTGGCCAGGGGCCAGGTAGAGCCGTCGGTCTTCTCTGTACTCACACCCAGAGGAAGAAGACTGGAGACAGCACTGACACTACGTACCAGGCATCTCTGTCTTAACCGTGTTACCTTACTGAGACGTGAGTACCATCAAGGTGCCCCTTTGTGGAGGAGGCAAGAGGATGACCTTGACTTCCCTGAACCCCACTGCTATAATCCATCAAAATTCAAACCCACGCGGTCTTTTTTCTTTTTAAAAGATTTACTTATTTCTTTGAAAGAGCTGCAGCAAAGGAGAGAGGAGAGGAGAAAGAGGAAGGAAGGAGGGAGAGAGGGAGGGAAGGAGGGAGGGAGGGAGGGAGAGAGAGAGAGAGATTGAGAGAGAGAGAGAGAGATTGAGAGAGAGAATCTTCCATCCACTGGTTCACTCCCCAAATGGCCACATCAGGTGGGCCAGGCTGAAGCCAGGAGCCAGATGCTCATATGTGGGTGCAGAGGCCCAAGTACTTGGGCCATCCTCTGCTGCTTTCCTAGGCACATTAGCAGGGAGCTGGATCAGAAGTGGAGCAGCCAGGACTCGAACTGGTGCCCATATGGGATGCTGACCCTGCAGGCGGAGACTTAACCTATGCCACAGCACTGGCCCCAAGGGTGGTCTGACTCTTGAGGCTACGCTCCTATAGCCTGTACCACACTGCCTCCTCTGTCCACTGCCAGGAACTGTAATGCTCAAATATGCTTTATCTCACCTTTCACCACACACCAGTGAAGTAGACATGGTTCGTTCCAGTTTGGTTAAGGCAAGAAGGTTGTCTTAGCCCATTTTCTGTGGCTATAACCCCAAATACCAGAGTCTGGGTACCTTTTTTTTTTTTTTTTTTTTTTTTTTTTTTGGACAAGCAGAGTGGACAGTGAGGGAGAGAGACAGAGAGAAAGGTCTTCCTTTTTCTGTTGGTTCACCCCCCAATGGCTGCTGCGGCCAGCACACCGTGCTGATCCAAAGCCAGGAGCCAGGTGCTTCCTCCTGGTCACCCATGGGGTGCAGGGCCCAAGCACTTGGGCCATCCTCCACTGCACTCCCGGGCCACAGCAGAGAGCTGGCCTGGAAGAGGGGCAACCGGGACAGAATCCGGCGCCCCGACTGGGACTAGAACCTGGTGTGCTGGCGCCGCTAGGCGGAGGATTAGCCTAGTGAGCCACGGCGCCGGCCTGGTGAAGGCCTTTTTGCAAGGGCAACATGTGGACAGCCAGAGTGGCTCTGACCACAGGCCTCCTCTCAACATAATCCATTCACCCACGAGTGGATCCACTCCTTTGTGAGGGGCAGAGACCTCACGACCTAATCACCTCGGGACGGTCCCGCCTCCCAGTTCCTCCCTGGGAAGGTTAAGTTCCACAGGGCTCAGTGTGCGTCCCCGTCCAATGTCTGCTACTGTAACAAAGTACCTGAGGCAAGGCAACTTCACAGAGAAGTTCAGCTCGCAGTTTTGGAAACAGACAGTGCAAACAGCACAGCACAGGTTCTGCTGAGGACTCCCCTCACTGTGCCCCCCTCCCCCGACAGATGGCACTGACAGCGCCCGTGGGAGACCAAGGGATCATCTTGTGACAGGGAGCCAGAGAGGCTGGGGCCCCATGACCCCTTCTGAGGGTGTGCCCCACTTGACCTCAGGGCCGCCCGCTAGGTCTCACCTCTTAGAGGTCCCACTGCCTCTCAGCACCACCACACTAAGGACCAAGCTCCCAACGCAGGATCTCTCAGGGGACACAGTCAAACCATAACCGAATCTGGTGGAGATGACATTCCACCCATCGTCTGTCCGAATCCTGAACCTATACTCCTCATTCTGTGACAGCAACTGTCCCTACCCAGCG